GTGAAACCTTTCCTTGTCTTTTTGTGATTGTTGACTAATTTCACTCAGCACTCAGCATAATGTCCTCTAGATTCATCTATGTTAATGAGGTGGTTTGCAGATTCACCATTATTCTTCAGTGTTGTATAGCATTCCATTGCGTATATATACACCAGAGTTGTTTATACATTTTCCCATTGATGGTCATTTAGACTGTCTCTATCTTTTTCCTACTGTGAATCATGTTACGATGAACATGGGTGTACATGTCACCTCTAGTGCTGCCTCAGTTTGTTGAAAATTTCAGTTTGTATTCCATCTGTTTCTGGAGCCTTGTTCTTTGACAATGCCTTAATTGCACCTTGGACATTTTCCTTCAGTACCCTTGGCTCTTGAACATTTGCTACCCCTTCAAATGATTTTTTGGCCATTTATTTTTGGTACAGTGTTTATGTGTATTCTTTCCATTTTCTTTTGATGCTTTCTGCATTGCTCAATATCTTGTCCACAGACACCTTCTGTATTGTAAGTTGATGCTTGAATTTTTTCTTCAGTTCTTTCAGGTTGAGAAATGCTGAGCATGGTCTTCCCTTTTAATTTTCTAACTCCAAATCTTTGCACATTTTATTGTAATATAGGACTTTGTCTTCTTGAGGTGCCCTTTGAAATTTTTTGTTCAGCTCTTTTACCTCCTCATTTCTTCTACTTGCTTCATCATCTCTATGCTAGAGAGCAAATTTCAGAGTCTCTTCTGATATTCATTTTGGTCTCTTTCTTCTTTCTTGTCTTCTTAATGATCTTTTGCTTTCTTCCTGTGTAGTGTTCTTGATGTCATCCACAAATCTTCTGGTTTTCCGTCATTAGTGTCCAATGCATCACATTTGTTCTTGAGATGATCTCTAAATTCAGATGTGGTATGCTGAAGGTCATATTTTGGCTCTCGTGGACTTGTTTTAATTTTCTTCAGCTTCAGTCTGAACTTGCATATGAAAAATTGATGGTCTGTTCCACAGTCTGCTCCTAACCTAATTTTGACTGATGATATGGAACTTTTCTACTATCTCTTTCCACTGATGTAGTTATTTTGATTTCTGTGTATTCAATCTGGTGAGGTCCATGGGTATAGTTGTCTTTTATGATGTTTTAAAAAAGTTTCTGCAATGAAGAATACATCGGTCTTGCAAAATTCTGTCACATGATATCCAATATCATTTCTATCACCAAGACCATATTTTCCAGTGACTGATCCTTCTTCTTTGTATCCAACCTTTGCATTCTGATTGCCAGTTCCCTGCAAATGTATGGCTGCCAGATTCAGATGGGAGTGTGAAAGGAGGGATATCATTGCTGACATTAGATGAGTCTTGGCTGAAAGCAGAGAATACAAGAAGGTGCTTTCCTGTGCTTTATTGACTACACAAAGGAATTTTTGGGAATCATGACAAGCTATGGACAACATTGCATAGAATAAGTATTCAGGAACACTTAATTGTGCTTATGAGGACCCTGTACATAGACCAAGAGGCAGTTGTTCCAACAGAAGAAGGGAAGACTAAATGATTTAAAATTAGGAAAGATATGCTCCAGTGTTATATTCTTTCACCATACTTATTCAATCTGTATGCTGAGCACATAATCTGAGAAGCTGTATTATATGAAGAATAGCATGGCATCAAAATTGGAAGAAGACTCATTAACAACCTGAGATACACACAGATGGTCAACCTTGTTTGTTGAAAGCAAAGAGAAATTAAAATACTTACTGATGAAGATCAAAGACCACGGCATTCATTGTGAGTTGTATTTCAGTGTATAGAAAACAAAAATCCTCACCATTGAACCAATAAATAACATCAAGATAAATGGGGAGAAGGTTGAAATTGTCAAAGACTTCATTCTTTTTGGATCAACCATCTACACTCATGGAAGCAGCAGTCAAGATATCAAACAACGTATTGCATTAGGCAAATCTGCTACACAAGACCTTTTTTAAGTGTTGAAGAGCAAAGATGTCAGTTTGAGGACAAAGATGCACCTGACTTGAGCCATGGTATTTTCAGTACCCTCATATGCATGTGAAAGTTGGACAGTGAATAAGAAAGATAGTATAAGAATTGATGCATCTGAGTCATGATGTTGGAGTAGAATATTAAAGTACCATGGACTGTCAAAAGATCAAACTAATTTGTGTTGGAAGAAGTACAACCAGAATGCTCCCTAAAAGCCAGGATGGCCAGACTTTATGTCTCATACGTCAGCTATATTATGAGGATGAACCAATCCCTGGAGAAGGACATGATGCTTGCTAAGTGGAGGATCAGCAAAAAAGAGGAAGACCCCCAATGAGATGGATTGAATAGTGGCAGCAACAATGGGCTTAAGTGTAAAAATGATTGTGAAGTTGGCACAGGACCTGGCAGGTTTTTGTTCTGTTGTACACAAGATCACTATGAGTCAGTACCAACTGGATGGTACCTAATAAGAATAATGAAGTTAACAACTAACATTAAAAGATCATATCAGAGTTTAATTTTCAGAGGATTTAATTAAGCAACTGTGTGTAGAATAAATTATAACAGAGTAGGATCGTATTCAAGGAAACCAGTTATAACCTAAATGAAAGATACTAAAGGCATGAACTGGAGCAAAAGTTCTCAATCCCTGAGTCATGCACACCTTTCAAAGTGTAATGGTTCTCTAGCCAGAGATCACCAGGAAGACAGACATGTGTATTTTAAGAAAGTTAGGCTTACTTAACTCACTGCAGCAAAGGAGGGCTCAATACCGGAACTGTAGGTCATTTTAGGGACTGGGGAGAAATTTATTCTAGGATTTAGGTTTGTACTGGGTGATTCTTATGAAGATTGGGAAAGTAGAAGCTAGTTCTAGATTGGATGTTCTCAGAAAATACAGTATCAAGTACATTTAATCTCGGAGGTAGGAAGATTAAAGAAATAGTGGTTATTTGCATTAGAAAAGAGAAATGTTTACTTATTTTTGTGGTTCTTGAGTATCCCTGTCTCTTTGAAGTTTCAGAAGTAATTACATGGTGCTCAAAACTTTGTTATCTACTATTGTCATAGGGTAACCTTGTCTGAATATTATCTATATACTCTGGTAGCGTAGTGGTTACGAATCGGGCTGCGAACCGCAAGGTCAGCAGTTCGAAACTACCAGCTGCTCCACAGGAGAAAGATGAGGCATTCTGCTCCCATAAAGATTAACAGCCTCGGAAACCCTGTGCAGGGTCGCTATGAGTAGGAACCGACTCCACGGCACATAACAACAACAACTGCCAAAGTTACTTATACTCATAAACATAATGGTTTAGCTGTCAGATTTCAACTGTCAGTGATGTTTTGTTACTTTATCAGTACTCTATGTATTAATCTGTTTAGCCCTAAAGACCACCAGCCAGTTTTCCCATATGGTGTGCAGCCTCATCCATTTACTCAAGAGTGCTATATATGTTATCATCTTTTTAATTTTGCCATGAGTTGAAAGGGTTGAATGAGTAATAATACACAAAAAGAAAAATAATTAAGGGGGTAAAGATTTTCAAAGCTCCCCACTATCTCTAAAATTACTAGTTTGCTTCAAAATCTATGCTCCAGAAAAGATAAGTTGATTTCTCTTCCTGTGGCACTGTGAGTTTAATGCACTGGACTGTATGGCCTATTTGAACCACAGGGTCAGTGGTTCAAGCTCACCAGTTGCTCCTAGGAAGCCCTACACAGGGTCACTATGAGTCGGAACTGACTCGATGGTACTTAACAACAATAACAGCAGTCTGTAGTTTTGCTTTCTTAGGGTATTATGCCCTCTACCAGGAATATAAGGAACCCTGATTGTGCAGTGGTTAAGTGCTCATCTGCTAATGGAAAGATCAGCAGTTCAAACCCACCAGCCACTCCATGGGAGAAAGATATGGTGGTCTACTTTCATAAATATTGTTGGTGTTGTTAAGTTACATCAATTTGATTCCGACTCATAGCAACCCTGTATAGGTTTCCAAGGAGCAGCTAGTAGATTTGAACTGCTGACCCTGAAGTTAGCAGTCTAGTGCTTATCCTGCAATGCCATACCAGGTTTGGAAACTCTATGGGGCAGTTCTACACTGTCCTGTAGGGTCACTATGAGTTGGAATCAACTTCATGGCAACAGGTTTAACCTGGAATATGTTTCCCTTGTTTTCTTTTCATGTCCAAACACTGTTTGTCCTTCAAATGTTTCTCCCCTACCCCATGCTACTAATGAGCGCTAAGATGAAAAAGCCTGCTTAAAATCTAATAAATATAGACTATATATTTAGATATATTAATTTTAACTTAGAAGAATCAAGTTGAAAGCAATTGCTCCTTTCTATGAATTCATATAGCAAGTGTCTTCAGCCCCCAAAGCACTTATTTCTAATGTCTATTAGACATGTATAGAGTCTTATCTACTTGCTGCTGTAAGTGGTTGAAATGAAAATACAATGAAGTTTACGTCTTTCCAGGCTCTTCAGACTTAAGTATAAACCAGAAGAAATGTTGCAAAACCCCACCTCCATTATCACTTTATTCAGAATATATTAACTAATATTCTACCGTATTTATTAGCCAGTCATAATGGATGAGAGAAGCTTATGAGAGAGGCTTGTGAAAAGCTGGGATGAAGCTCATAGTGGGGTAGGGACTGTTGTCAGAAATATCTTTGTATCCTTTAAGATTTTTATGTCACATGGGTTAACATTTGAAGAGGAGTCCTGCTGTGGCACTGTAAGATTAGCACTGGGTCACAAGGTCAATTTAAATCACAAGACCAGTGGTTCAAACCTACCAGCCGCTCCTCGGAAACCCTATATAAGGTCTCTATGAGTCCAAACTGACATGATGGCATTTAATAACAACATTTGAGGAAGCGTGAAAATCATAATGTTTTTGTACTATTTGAAAGAAAGATAAGTGGATAAAAATAAATTATGTCAAACTCACAGTAGCAGATATAGTAACAAATTGGTTTGTTTTTCTTATATTTAGGAATGACTGCCTACAAAAAACTGGGAAAGCGAGAATGTAATCATCACTGTAAAAATAAGCATACATGTGGACATGACTGCTGTGAGTTCCAAGAAACAAATGTATTTCCAGTTTTGAAAATATTTCCTTCTCTATGTCTTTCCTCACTTCTATATTAATTGATGAATAGTAATAACATCCTAATTATTGATGTATGAAATTTATATGTATGTTCTATAACCCTCAAGTAATTTTCTTTCTTTTTTGGGCAAAAATGGAAAAAAAAATCTGATTTGAAGAAATTTGGCTCTATGTAAATAATACTGAAAGCTTAAATTAAAGATCTAACTTTTTTCCCATAGGTAAAATTGGAGTTACACAGAAGTTAGAAATGAAAGATCCAACAATTTCTTCATATTTATCAGATTTAAGAAATAGGAATGCTGTTTCATCTCTTCCTCCAGTTAAACGTCTCAAGGTTAGTTTTAATAACATTCATCCCTTTAATCTATAATAAAATGAATTTGAATACACATTTGTTTTATGTACCAGACAGTTATCTGTAGTTTACTTTACTATGGGCTTGACTAAGAATATGAGCATTATTCACAATATTGTTTCTAAAGGATAAGACATTTTCAGTTATTGATAACAAACCCGTCTGTCTAGTTTGAAAAATAGTTATCTAGCCCCTTTCCTCATTAACTTTTTTTTCTTTAACCAAAGAACAGGTAAAAGGAAGGATATGTATCTTGGCTTGGTTCAGCAAAGGGCACTAGACATTGTTGCCCTTTTCTGGCTCTGTTAGTGCTGGACTGCAAAGTCTGAAGTTAATACTGATTCATGCACTAGATGAGTATTGAACATGAACATTCCAAGTGATGAAGAAATGGGAGTTGCTATTGGTTGATAGGTTAGACACTTATCCTAAGCCTACGACATCATATCCAGGAAAAAATAGCTGCAGGCCCGAACCAAACTATGAAAATGGAAGACTCCCATATCTTTTCTAGAGCCTTTATAAGAATGAAGATTCTAAGCCATGAAATAAAACAATATTGAGAAACAGAGAGAGGCATGAAGTTTGAGATGGTCACCACCTTCTCTAAGATTTCTTTTTTTTTTTGTAACCTAAGTTTTTTTTCTTTCTTTCCTTCTCTCTCTTTCCTCACTTCTATATTAATTGATCACCAACAACATGCCAAACATTATGCTAGGGGTTAGTGATAAATAAAGGAGCTCTGGTAGCGTAGTGGTTACAAATTGGGCTGCTAATCTCATAGTCAGCAGTTCAAAACAACTGGCAGTTCCACAGGAGAGAAAGATGAGGCTTTCTGCGCCCATATAGATTGACAGCCTTGGAAGCCGTATATAGGGTCACTATGAGTTGGAACTGACTCCACAGTATATAACTACCACCACCAGTGATAAGACAGTTTTAGTCCCAATTGGAAGAGACCCGTATTTGTGCCCATTCCAAAGAGAGGTGACCCAACGTAATGCAGAAATCATCTGACAATATCTTTTATATCCCATGAGAATAAAATTTTACTCAAGGTAATACAGAAATGGCTGCAACCATACACTGAAAGAGAACTTCCAGAGATTCAAGCCGATTCAGAAGAGGACGTGAAACAAGGAATATTGATATCATTGCTGACATCAGATAGATTGTAGCTGAAAGTAGAGAATATCAGAAAGATGTTTACCTGTGCTTCATTGATTATGCAAAGGCTTTCGATTGTGTGGATCATGACAAGCTATGGACAACATTGCAAAGTATGAGCATTCTTGAACACTTAATTGTGCTCATGAGGAACCTCTACATGGACTAAGAGGCAGTTGTTCGAATAGAACATGGATGCACTGAATGGTTTTAAATTAGGAAAGGTGTGCTACAGGGTTGATTTCTTTCACCATATATATTCAACCTGCATGCTGAGCAAATAATCCAAGAAGCTAGGTTATGTGAAGAAAAACCTGGCATCAGGATTGGAGGAAGACTCATTAACAATATGCAGATGATACAACCTTGGTTGCTGAAAGTGAAGAGGACTTAGAATACTTACTGATGAAGATCCAAGACCATAGCCTTCAGTATGAATTGCATTTCAATGTTAAGAAAACAAAAATCCTCGTCAAGGACTTCATTCTTCTTGGATCAACTATCAACACTCATGGAAGCAGCAGTCAAGAAATCAAACAACATATTGCATTAGGCAGATCTGCTGCACAAGACCTTTTTAAAGTGTTGAAGAGCAAAGATGTCAGTTTGAGGACTAAGGTGCACCTGACCCAAGCCATGGTATTTTCAGTAACCTTATATGCATGTGAAAGCTGGACAGTGAACAAGGAAGACCGTAAAAGAATTGATGCGTTTGAGTTACAGTGTTGGAGGAGAATATTGAAAGTGCCATGGGCTGCCAAAAGAACCAATAGATCCGTTTTGGAAAAAGTGCAGCCAGAGTGCTCCTTGGAGGCCAAGATGGCCAAACTTCATCTCTCATACTTCGGATATATTGTCAGGAGGGACCGGTTACTGGAGGAGGATATCATGTTTGGTAAGGTGGAGGGTCAGAGAAAAAGAGGAAGACCCCCAGTGAGATGGATTGGCAAAGTGGCAGCATCAACGGACTCAATGGCAACAATTGTGAGGTTGGCCCAGGACCGGGCAGTGTTTCGTTCTGTTGTGCATAGGGTCACTATGAGCAGATACTGACTCAGTGGCACCCAACAACAACAACAACATACTTGAGTGAAAGAAACAAATAAGTAAACAGGCTTTTTAATTATGAAGTACTTCTGTGACAGCAGAATGCATATAAGATGCTTGCATTTTGATGAAAAGTATCCTGAATCCGTATTTGATGGGCCAGGAAGGAATTGCTAGTTGATTGAGACCTGAAAGAAGTATAGGCATAAGTCAAGTATGGAGCAGCACTAGGATGGTGGTGAGCAGGGATGGAAAACTATTTAAAAAATAGAGAATGTACAGAGAGGTGAGGGAGGGGAAAGATGAGAGGAAAATCTTCAGAAGAACTAAGTAATACAGTAAAGTCTGGAGCATGGTGGTAATCACTGGACTACAAACCACAAGGTCCATGGCTAGAGCCCACCACACGTTCTGTGAGAGAATGACGAGGCTTTCTGCTCCTGTGTAGATTTAAAGCCTTGGAAACCCTATACCGGGTCACTATGAGTTGGAACCAACTTGACTGCACTTAACAACCTCAATGTAGTATGTCTAGAGTTCAACTCTAACTAAGGGAAATGAAGAGAGGTGAGACTGAAGACTAAAACATGAAGACATTTTTGCTATTTTAAGGTTTTGAACTTTCTCCTGAAAGTATTGGGAGACTATTGAATTTATACAGCGCTTTATAAAGTTCACTCGAGTTAACAATTTGGAGACTGGATCGGAGGATGATAGATTAGGAAAATAGAGAATCATTAGGTGGTTTTTACAAGAATCTAAGCTAGATGGCCTAATCTAAGGTGTTGTTGTTGTTGTTGTTAAGTGCTGTAGAGTTGGTTCTGACTCCTAGTGACCCTGTATAGGGTTTCTGAGGAGCGGCTGGTGGGTTTGAACTGCTGACTTATTGGTTAGCATTCCAGTGTTTATCCTGTAGCACCACAACAGGACTGCATGACAGAGAAAGGAGTGCAGAGTAATAGAAATGGCTAGGGTAATAACATTTTTCAGAGGTAGAATCTACAAGTTTGGCAGAATACAGACATGATAAGTTTAATTTGGAAAACACTAAATTTAGAGACCAGCAAGATGTCTAGGTAGAAATGCTCTATGGAAAGTTTGCTGCAACTCCTTGACAATCAGGAAAGAGCTGTATTACAGATACAGATTTGAGAGTCATTCACACATAAATGGTAATTGAAGACATAGTAAATAAGACCTATGCTGAGAATGTGTAAAGCAAGGGAAGACCTATAAAGGACTCTGAGGGATTCCAATATTTAAGAAGGACTTAGCAAAGGTATAGACCAAAGTTTTATTAGTGGTTTACCATGGGCAGGAGGGAGAAGAGAAAAGGGAGTCTTTGTTTGAGAAGCAATGGTTTTCTGGTTTTGGTGATGGAAAATTTGACAATTATTGGTGACAGCTGCACAACACGATTAATGTAATTGATATCACCAAATTGTATATGTGAAGAAAGTTACATTGGTGTTATGAAATATATGTATATAGCAACATTTTTTTTTCACATGTACAATTTAGTGATATCAAGTACATTAATCATGTGCAACTGCCATATATATATGTTGTTGTTAAGTACTGTGGAGTCAGTTTCAACTCATAGAGGCCCTGTATAGGGTTTCCAAGGCTTTAAATATTTTGAGGGAGCAGAAAGCCTTATCTTTCTCCTGTGGAGCGACTGGTGGACTTGAACCACCAACCTTGTGGTTCACAGTCCAGTGCTTATCCTATGGAGCCACTGTGCTCCCATATATATGTATGTATGTCCAAACCAATTGGACCACATTTAACAACACCAATAACACACACACACACATAGAGCAGTTAACAATGTATATATATATATATGGAGCTCTGGTGGCGTAGTGGTTATGAATCGGGCAGCAAACCACGAGGTCAGCAGTTCAAAACTACCAGCTGTTCCACGGGAGAAAGATGAGGTGTTCTGCTCCTGTAAAGATATACAGCCTTGGAAACCCTGTACAGGGTCGCTATGAGTTGGAACCGACTCCACAGCACTTAACAACAACAATATATATATACTTATATATAGTTATATATCTCTAATTATTGTACATATATGTTTATATATCAATAAGTACATATATAAGTATATGTACAACCATTAAAAAAGAAGAAGGGCCTAAGAGGGAGACTTGAGTTGAGAACCACCCTGAGTTCCTCTTAATTTATTGATTTTTAGACTTTATGTACAAGCAGAAATTTTGCTATTTGGCTCATTTGTTTAAATATATTGATATAAAGCTAATAGTTGAACTTCTAATTTTTTTCATTAATAGATGCAAATGAATAAACCTCAAAGTGTGGACGTTCAAGAGTTTAGCTTTACTCCAAAATCTTCCCTTCCCAGTATATCAAGGTACAAATACAATGTTAATATCACAGATAAAATTTTTACCATTAATTTTGTATTCCTACAGATAATCACTTACTCACGGAAGAGTGACCACTGGCTACTCTCAATCACAGTGATTATTTAGTTCCTTAACAAGGCATTGAAACATAAGATTTAAATTTTCTTTCATATACCCTCAATTTATTTAGAACTTTATAGTTATAGAATATATTAACGTTCATTCTATCATCTTTCCTGGGAATCTACCCATGGTATATCTTCCCCTCAGGCTCTATCTACCGTCTAAACTTCCCAGGTGACAAGACTATACTTCAGAAAGGGAAATTAGGTTTGTGTGTGAAGAGTAACTGTGTTTAAGGGCCCACTCCATATTGATAATGCCTCAGATTTATAAAGTACTTTATTATTTATATCATATTTTTGCATATCATCACTTTTGACCTTAATAACAACCTGACTCATAAAATGAGATATTTTAATTCTGTTTTATAGCTAAAAAACCCAGGGCTCATACTCCTAGTAAGCAAGCAGAAGGCCTAATTCTCAGTATCTTTCTGTGTTTCACGATGCCTAGAGGTGATGTTGTTATTGTTGTTAAGTACCATCAAGTCAGTTCTAACTCTTAGTGACTCTGTATAGGGTTTCCGAGGAGTGGCTGATGGGTGTGAACTGCTGACATAGAAATAGAGGCTATATTATACATAATTACCCTTTCAGCAAAGGACCTTCTATGGAGTAACATTCAATATATATTTAACCAGTTCAGAACAGGTTCTGACCAATCAGAACAGATGCCAGCATTACTTCTAGAGATCTTGCTCTTGTTAGCTAACTAAAGTAGCATTAGCAATAAGGTGTTTTAGGCTCTCCAGAGAGCATCTATCTGTTGGGGTATGTAAAGAAACCACCACTTGTCTGTCAGTTTGTCGTATTGTGGTGGCTTGTGAGTTGCTGTGATTCTGTAAGCTACGCCACTGGTGTTTTAAATACCAGCAGGGTCACCCATAGTGGACAGATTTCAGATGAGCTTCCAGACAAAGACAGACTAGAAAGAAAGAGTGAGGAACTACTCCCGAATCTTTAGTCACTGAAAACCTTATGAATAGCAGAGAAACACTGTCAGATATAGTGCCAGAAAATGAGCCCCCCAGGTTGGAAGGCACTCAAAATATGACTGTAGATGGATTGGCAAAGTGGCAGCATCAATGGGCTCAAACATGGCAACAATTGTGAGGTTGGCTCAGGATCAGTCAGTGTTCTGTTCTGTTTGTTGTGCATGGGTCCGCTATGAGTTGGTACTGACTCGATGGCACCTAACAACATAGCACTGGAGGATCACCACTGGACTGAGAACTACAGGTTGTCAGTCCAAACCCAGCAGCTGCTCCTTAAAACTGTTCAAGGTCGCTATGAGTCAGAACTGACTTGACAGCACTTAACAACAACAAATATAGGTAACTTCCATTAAACACCTATTTCTATCTTTTCCTACCTGGCTGACACAGTTTAGTCAGGGAAGTGTTGAATGGACAAACCATATTTTTTTCTTTTTCATAAATAGTGTTTTTCAAAGTCAGATTAATTTTAATACTTTTTTAAAAGCATTTTATGGCTTTATGTTTATAAAGGTCAGAATATTCAAACGCATTTAAATCGCATATAATGGAACAGTGGGATCAGAGTGAAATTTGTGGAAAATATCACCAACAAGAACCATCTGAATATCAAAACAAAGGTAAATTATCATTGATATATGATTTGAGAAAGAATATAATTTATCATTACTTCAGATTGACAAGTACTGTTATTAAAAACCAACATTTGTAATTATTACGGTTATTAACTTGGCAATTATCCCTTGGGTCACTGAACCTATTTTAAATTCTTGGTCTGTTATTTCAGATGGTTCTGTTATGTCTGACAGATTTTTAAAGAAATCCCTTCTATACAAGGTTGAACTATTTAAATTTAAAAGATAATATGAGGAAAAGCTGAAAAAAACAAGAATCCTTTGGTGTTCAAAATATTAAACTACTAAATGATTATTTTTTTATTTTTAGGATGTTTTATGTGATTTTTGTATTTATAAAATTAGTCCAGTTATACAAAATAGCTATGGGACCTTGAGCAAATTATTTAACCTTTTGTTTTAAAATGAAGGGATTGAGTTGGGTGACCTTTCATATCTCTCCAATAGTTAGCTCTATGATTCTTACATTTATGATAATAGAATATAGCATAGGTTGTGGTGTATAATCTAGATTTGCATCATATCAGTGTTTCATTAAATTTATGAGATACTGCATATGGATTCCACAAAACTGTGTCTGGTTCATCATTACTCTGAACCCTGCCTTTCTTAGCATCATTTCCCTGAGTTATGTCATTAACTCAGTTGGTGAAAATGTATGAGAAATAATCCTGGCTATTGAGTTGTTTGTTCAACTATCTGTATATTTAAATGGTAAACTTGAAGTTTTCTGAAAATAACTTTATGCTCATAGAATTAGCTTCTATATCCACTCTTTCCTTCATGCTACCACTTTATGCTTTCCTAACTATAAGTTCCACCACTCGTCTGTCAGTTTGTTTTACTATGGTGGCTTGTAAGTTGCTATGATGCTGGAAGCTATGCCACTGGTATTTTAAATACCAGCAGGATCACCCATGGTGGACAGGTTTCAGATCAGCTTCCAGACAAGACAGACTAGGAAGAAGGAGTGACGAACTACTTCTGAATATTTAGTTACTGAACACCTTATGAATAGCAGAGAAACACTGTCAGATACAGTATAGAAGAGGAATGGTGTTGCATTCAAAAAGAACATACCCAGATCAGTCATGAGGTACAACACTATGATAGGATAGTATTCATGTGCCTACAGGGAAGCTCAGTTAATACCACTATTATTCAAATTTACGCACCAACCACTAAAACCAGTGACGATGAGGTAGAAGAATTCTACCAACTTCTTCAATCTGAAATCGATCAAACATGAAATCAAGATGTATTGATCATTACTGGTAATTGGAATACAAAGGTTGGGAGCAAAGAGGAAGCTTTAGTAGTTGGAAAATATGGCCTTGGTGATAGAAATGATGCTGGAGATCGCATGATAGAATTCTGCAAAATCAATGATTTATTCATTTCAAGTAACTTCTTTAGACAGCATAAGATCAAAGAGCACAGCCTTCAGTATGGATTACATCTCAATGTAAAGAAAACAAAAATCCTCACCACTGGACCAATAAACAACATTCTTATCAATGGAGAAAAGATTGAAGTTGTCAAGGAATTCATTCTTCTTGAATCAACTATCAACACTCACCGAAGCAGCAGTCAAGAAATCAAATGACGTATTGCATTAGGCAAATCTGCTGCACAAGACCTTTTTAAAGTGTAAAAGAGCAAAGATGTCAGCTTGAGGACTAAGGTGCGCCTGACCCAAGCCATGGTATTTTCAGTAACCTCATATACATGCAAAAGCTGGACAGTGAACAAGGAAGACTGTAGAAGAATTGATGCTTTTGAGTTATGGTGTTGGAGGAGAATATTGAAGGTGCCATGGACTGCCAAAAGAACCAATAGATCCGTTTTGGAAAAAGTGCAGCCAGAGCGCTCCAACTCCTGTAGTGTTTCTTTCCTCTCATCTCAAGGCTCTTCCTGTTTTAATTCCATGTCCCCTAGTTTCATTTAGCTAGTTTTTATCACAAGGTACACAAATTCTACTCAAAGGGTTTTTACAAATAAAAAGAAACTTAAGTACCAAGTAAATGGAAAAGTTCAGACAGGCATCTGGATTTAATCTTAACTATATCCAGGGACACCACCACCACCATATCCAGGGACACAAATGATTACATCATGCCTCTGGCTTTCTTTCAGCATTTTAACTATGCCTTTTGATAATTAGATTCATTCTTTAAAAAGGTTTTCCCATATGGCAAGTAGGATGGTGACTAGTATCCCCTAATTATTATCTTCCCAGTTCGGCAATGTCAGTAGAAAAAGATAGTCTTCTCTGTTTGAGTCATTGTGTGTTCATCCTTGATCAATCCCTATAGAACACATTATCCAGTCCCATAGTCCGTGTATGGGATTGGGTCATGTGTTCTATCTATATTGCCCATGGAAAGACAGGCTACAATGCTTGACAGCTTCACCAGGATCACACGGGGTTGAGGAGAAGATGAATAATTTTGCTCAAACAAGGAAAAGCATGCCAGGCAGACAAAAAAAAAAAACAGAGCCGAGTCCCTATACATTTTATTTTTTGTTTTACCTTAAAATTAAAACTTCTTGAGAGAACAATTCACACTCAGGGTGTTCACTTCTTTACTTCATAGTCACTCTTCATTCACTAAAATTTGGGTTATGGCTCCCTTTTTTTTTTTTTTTTCTTAAGTAATTTTAGTGATCTCCTAAGGCTAAATTCAGTGTGACCTTTTCATTTTTCATTCTCTTTCACCTCTGTATATATGTAATTACTATCTTTCCTTTGTTGTTGTTAGTAGTTGCAACAAAGGGCTCAAACATAACAATTGTGAGGCTGGCACAGGAACAGGCGGTGTTTCTTTCTATATTATACATCGAGTTGTTATGAGTCAGACATGACTCAACAGCACCTAACAACAACATGGTTCTCCTACTACTTCTTAGGTTGCCTGTGCTCTTTTTCCAGCCCCTCTAAATGTCAGTGTTGCAAAAATATTGTTTTTGCTTTTTTATTCTTGTCACTTTTATAAACTTTTCCTAGAAATTACTCTAGGGCTTCAATTACTAACTATATTTTATTATTTCTAAATCTGTATCTCCCATCTAGATAGAGCCTTCTGTCTAACACTAGACCCATGTATCCAATCACGTTTTTGGATCTATCCACCTAAAAGTTAATATGGCAGCATCCTTACACTTTCAGGCTTCTCTTTACCTCAGCCAACCCCCTTTTCTTATGTTCCTTATCTCAGTGAATAAGCCCTCCTCCTTTGAAAGCTGCTTACTCTGTAGGACAGGCACTGAACTGCTAACCCAAAGTCCACTGTTCAAACCCACCAGCCACTGCCTGGGAGAAGATGAGGCTTTCTGTTCTCATATAGATTTACAACCTCTGGAATCCTATGCAGTGTTACTGTAAATTAGAATCCACTTGATGGTAGTGAGCTAAAGACAAAAAGACATCCTAAATACCTAACCTACATCTTCTTTACTCCTAAACATCTCTCTTATCTGTTCTATCCCTTCCATATAGTGGGCTACTACTGTGCATTTCTCCCTACCTTAGCATTCAGTAATGCAGCATTGATAGCTTGAAACCAGTTATGATCAGAATATTTGATTTGTACCATGGATATCAGAAAACACTATACTGTTTGATTTATTGATATATTATTTATACTTAACTCAATGATAGAGAAAATGTTAATAATGCAGATTAAACTTAACAGCTTTGTGTCTGTGGCCATTATATTATATAAAATCACACAAATGCTGGAAATAATTCTTCTAGTATTTAAAAACTAATTCAGCAAAAAAAGTTGCGTAAATCAGTGATATACGGGTAAAGCTCCAACATATAGTTCTTCGTGTTTTCACTTTCATCATACTTATTAAAGTCAACAAACACGTCAGATAATAGTCATGTGAGGAGTACGCTCATTTTTTCAATTGCAGCAATAGACAGACAATAGCTACAGCATTTGAAAAAACTCAGTGAAAGCATTCTGTGACAATCAATTAGATATATAGAATTTGTTGTTAAGTATGCTGTATATTTTGTGATTCTTTGTCAACTGTCTGCTATGTATCTTATTATGGCAATTTTTTGTGAAGTGACATTGAGTCGGTTCAGACCTATAGTGACCCTGTATAGGGCTTCCGAGGAACAGCTGGTGAGCTTGAACCACCAACCTTGCAGTTCACATGGCTTTGCAGTCTGATACATTAACCCACAGCATCACACCAGAGCTCCATTTCAATAATAGTTGCAATAAATTCATAAATATATATGCATATATGTTTTAAGGACGTTGTTACTATACATTTATCAATTCACTAATATAGAAATTTGTACAAGTAAAATAATTTAGTCTCAATAACAGTCTTATGAGGTATATATACTGTTATTATCCCATGTTGCAAAGGTGAAAACTAGATTTAGAGAATTTAAATTATTTGTCCAATATCACATAGATAATAAATGAGAAAGGTGGAATTTTCACCCAGGTAGTCTTCTCTAAAACCAGACTATACATAGAGAACATTGAGGATTTTTTTTTTTTTAATTCTGTACATAAAAATCCATTGCAAATTAAATAGTTCAAATATTATAGTGGTTATGAATCGGGCTGCTAACCTCAAGGTTGTCAGTTCGAAAGTATCAGCTGTTCCTCAGGAGAAAGATGAGGCTTTCTGCTCCCGTAATGATTTACAGCCTCAGAAACCCTATGCAGGGTCACTATGAGTCGGAACTGACTCTATGGTACTTAACAACAACAACAAATATAGTAAATATTAGTTAACATAGTATTCAACAATGTTTAACCTAGTACTTTTGAAAACTACTGCTGAAGACCTCTGTTTAGTAATTGAAAGGTGTGTTTGATTTAAAATTATACCTGGACTTTATAAAATACCTATATTCTTTTATATATAAACATAACAGATTTTTCTAGATGGAACCATCCTACAACTTCAAATGAGAAAGTCCCTCAAACCATGCAATGGAACAGAAAATTTGCATCTAGAAACCAAAATTTAGATGATGGAACTAATTGCAACTCCTCATTTTCACAAGTTTTGGATGTGAACTTTGAATTGGGAAATGAAGTTTGGGATGATTTTGATGATGAAAACTTAGTAGAGGTGACTAACTTTTTAATTGAAGCTGATAAGACCAAAACATCAGGTAAAGTTGTATTTTAGTATGAAATAATTTAATGAGAAATTATTTTAATATTTTTAAGTTTGACTTTTGGGACTAATTTCCTTTACATTTTTATGTGTGTGCTTATTTCATTATCTTTGGTTTCTTAGTATTTTATTTTTTAGCAAACCTGATAATTCAACCTTTCCATAAATAGCATTCCTTGTCCACACCACGGATAGAAGTTAAGGTTATTATTACATTATGATGATGTAACAAATGAGTTTTTCCTATAATATAAGTGCAAAATCTCCATTGGTTTACTAATCACATTCAGATTGTTGAATGAATTTTCTCTCATTAACACAGAGTATCCTGCTCTCCATTCTGACAGCATAAGTGACCCGCTAATGTTTGTAAAGGACAAAATTATTTCATTTAAAAAATGATTCTTCTGCTCTCAAAGAAAATAAAACACAATTTTATTTCTAGTAGAAATACATCGAAAAAGAATTTGTTTCTCTTATGTTGTATATTATATTTAAAACATACATAATCCCAAAATAATGAGACTTAATCTTTTGAATTTTTGGCTAATTCACGCAAATAAAAAAGTTAAAATCTTGGTAAGATGGATATACTTTCTTACATGAGGACTGAGAGAAAGAAATCAATCCCTTAGCCTTTTTAGTGTAGCTACCTATTCCCACAGTTATAGTTACCTCTTATAAGCCCCTGCTCTCGCTCTCTTTTTTTTAAGTAAAATATCTATAAATTAGAAATCCAAATATTATTGTTTCAAGGCTTAAGTATTATCAAAAGAGCAACTGCTCCTTCCAAAGGAAGGGTATTAACCACCTTCACAAAATAGGCCTGTAAAATCTCTATGATATGGGATCAGTAGGCAGTTTCCTATATCATTGAAAAACTACCAGTCCCTACCCAAGGTTAAAAGTTCAGAAGTACTACAAGCTAATAGGTAATGTGTACTGATGCTTGGAGGTAGACATATGGGTATTGGGAAAATCAACCTCAATAAATGCCATTATTTCCTTCCATTTATAGAGCACTTTAAATGATTTTTTTACATGCAAACTATTGAAATATTCAATGAACTTATACTTGGTTATTTATGTGAATTAAAAAATATTAATAATAGTGGCTTTTTATCATTTAAGGATCCCTGGTAGTGTTGTGGGGTAAGCATTGAACTGCTAACCTTAAAGTCAGTGGTTCAAACTAGCCCCTTAGTGACAGAAACATGAGGCCGTCTGTTTCCATAAAAATTTACAGTATTGGAAACCCTGTAGGGTAGTTCTACTCTGTCCTATAGGATCATTGTAAGTCAGAACTGACTCAACAGCATTAGGTTTCTTGGGTTTCATCCTTTGAGCCAAAGAAGCTAATTTATATGTTTTGTAGTTTTACTTCCTAGGTTTACCCCTTATTTCTCTATTCAAATTCAATTTGATTATTGACAAGAATTATGCTTTCCCTAACCAGATCCTATCTATGAGAGAGAGTCTTTATAAAACTTGTAAAGAGCTCCATTCTGTTGTTTCCTGGCATTATGTTTCAAAACATTATCTCTTTACATAGGATTTGGAAACACTTTGAGTTCAAGTACCAGGGGAAATAAGCAAACCCTCCAAGAGTCAAAGAGCCAGTTCCAAAGAGAAATGTCAAAAAGGCAAGTTTTAGAACTTTGGTAAAGAATATTTAAAACTTTACATCCTCCTGACATGTAATTGGAGATGGGGATCAAGTTATTTGATGTCAGAGAAACTATCAGGTATTAGTCAACCTAAACCCTCTTAATCTTAGAGTTGTGGTTTTCCAAATGCTGTTGTCAGACCACCTGCATCAGAATCATTTGGGGGTTGGAGGAGAAGCTTATTTTAAATGCACATTCCTATAACACAGTCTGTACTTATTGAATCATAGTCTCTGAAGCTGGAACCAAGGAATCTTCATGTTTTACAATGCTTAAAAAATAAACAGGAGTTTGACGGAAAAGAAAAGGATAAAATTCTTGGTAGAAAGAAGTGCCTATAAAGGAATAAAGCTTGAAAATGCATTACAAGGGTCAATAAACTGTGGTATGTAGGGCTGTACAGCACTAAGACTTAAATTGCCAAGACCTGATTGAGAAGGGCTTAAACACAGTAGGACAGGGTCACAAGTTCAAATGCTTTTTGGGTTTAGCAGGCGAAAACCAATTGTAGAGAGCACCATCTAAGGCTAGCAATCACTACTTTAGTTCCATTTAGCCATTGCTACACAGAAAATATGAGTCAAGTGTTATCAAATATTCTGACAGAAAGCTAATAAAAAAGCTAAGAATCTGAAATTTGACTTGATATTTTTATGTGAAATTCTTTGATAACTTATTTTTTTAATGTAATTTAATGTAGTGCTTCCCTCCCCTGCCAAAAAATAATATCTGTAGGCCTGATATAGCCCAATGGTCACTAGTTTTTTTATTACCTCCAGGGTGTGAAGTGAGGAGCTACCAAAGATATTTAAGCACAGGGGAAACATTGATCAGAAATAATTCTAGCAATTATAAATAGAATGAATATTATAGGCTGAGACTACCAGAAGCAAGGTAGCAAATGAGAAAGGTAGACTTCAGCAAGACCTAAAGTAAGGCAGGAAGTCCTGATGTGGCACTGTAGGATAAGCACTAGACCACAAAATTTGTTTGAACTTCAAGGACAGTGATTCAGACTCAACAGCCACTCCTCGAAAACCCTATTTAGAGTTGCTGTGGGTCAGAACCGAATCAATGGCAACACTTAACAACAATAAAACTAAGGCAGAGATGGAAACAGAGGAGTAAAGTTGGATTTTTGAAACATTTCAGAGATAAAGCAGATGGGATTTGGCAATTAATGTACAGTACTGAGGAAGAAAGAAGAATTAAAGTTAAATACAAGTTTTCTAACCTGGCATCTGATAAATAAAGATGATGCTGTCTGAGGATAAGCACTAGACCACACAGTCTGTTTGAACTCAAGGAAACGTAAGAGATTTGGAAGGGAAAATGATAATAGCTTTAGAAATGGTCAATTTAAATTGCCTTTGTAGAAGTCCAGAGTGCATTTGGAAATATTGAACATGATTAAAAATGAAGCAAGTAAATTATAGCTATAACCAAAACTTCCCTCAAAGAAGAAATACTGACAACTTCATATTTAGAATACAATTTTCTAATTAAGGATTATTTATTTCTCTTTTATAAAGCTCTAAATTTTTAGTGTCTTTTGGAATTCTTGCTGTTATTTGTCGTTTTCCTGATCATTAGCATCAGGATAACAAGAACCAAAGATTTCAGAGAATATCCAAGCTAAAGGGAACTTTAAATGCCATACAGTACCTATACAACAGGACCCTTGAATCATCATCCAACATTACTGTATATGTGTAGGACTCCTGGTGTGGTTCTGTAGGATAAGCACTGGACTGCTAACCACAATGTCAGTGGTACAAACTCATCAGCTGCTCCTTGGAAACCTTATACAGGATCTCTAAGAGTTGGAACTGATTCCATACAACATTGTATGTGTATGTTTATATATATAGGGAGTCCTGGTGTGGTGCTGTGGGTTAATGCATTGGACCATAAGGTCATTTTGAGCTGCAAGGTCAGCAGTTCAAGCTCACCAGCCACTTCTTGGAAACCCTACCTGGGGTTGCTATGAATCAGTACCAACTCAGCGGAACTTAACAGCAACATATATGCACACACCCTTAGTTTAACACTACAGGATAAGCACTGGACTGCTACAAGTAAGATTAGTTAAAGCCACTAACCTACAGATTAGTTAAAGCCACTATTATTCAAATTTATGAACCAACCACTAAAGCCAGTAATGATGAAACTGAAGAATTGCACCAAATTCTCCAGTCTGAAATGGATCAAACATGCAGCAAGATGCATTGATAATTGCTGGTGATTGTAATGGGAAAATTGGAAATAAGAAGGATCAATACTTGGAAAATATGGACTTGGTGAGAGAAATGATATTGGAGATCACATGATAGAATTTTGCAAGACCACACCGACTTATTCATTGCAAACACCTTTTTCCAACAACATTAAAGGTAACTATACATGTGGATCTCACTAGATAGAATATACTGGAAGAAAAGCTCAATATTATCAGCCAAAACAAGGCCAAGGGGTAGACTGTGGAACAGACCATCAATTGCTCATATGAAAGTTCAGGCTGAAACTGAAGAAAATTTAAATAAATCCATGGGAGCCAAAATATGACCTTGAACATATCCCACATGAATTTAGAGACCATTTCAAAAACAGATTTGATGCATTGCACACTAATGACCGAACACCAGAAGAGTTGTGGGATGACATTAAGAACATCATACAGGAAGAAAGCAAAAGGTTGTTTAAAAGACAGGAAAAACAAAAAAGAGCAAAATGGATGTCAGAAGAGACATTGAAGCTTGCTGTTCAGCAGAGAGATGCTAAACAGAATAGAGAAATGAGGCAGTCAAAGAGCTGAACAGAAAATTTCAAACAACAGCTAGAAAAGACAAAGTTAAAAGTATTATAATAAAATGTGCAGAGATATAGAGTTAGAAATCCAAAAGGGAAACATTCCCTCAGCATTTCTCAAGCTGAAAGAACTGAAGAAAAAATTCAAGCCTTGACTTATAATATTGAACTGCTCTGCAGGAGAAAGATGAGGCTTTCTGCTCCCATAAAGATTTACAGACTCGGAAACCCTGTACAGGGTTGCTGTGAGTTGGAACCGATTCCACAGCACATAACAACAACATGGACAAAATACAGAAAGCATCAAAAGAAAACAGAAGGTATACACAGAGTCTCTGTATTAACAAGAAATGGTCAGTCTTCAACCATTTCAAGAAGTAGTGTAACTTCAAGAGCCAATGTGTACATCAAATATTTTTGCTTTGTTCATTATTAATATAATATGTAAAAGGGAAGCCACAAGGAAGAAGTAGGATAACTGCTGTTGCAGGGAAAAGATTGTATTCATTGAGATGAAACAAGGCATATGGTTTGTTGAATGTAAAGCTGATGATCTTGTCTGTTAACCTTCACTCAATTCACAATAAAAAGTTTAAGGTAATAATAATAATAAATGAATAAATAATTTCTTTCTAAAAAAAGAAAAGAACCAGTGGTACTGAAGGGAAAACTCCAAGCTACCCTGAAAGCATTTCCCATAAACAAGGTTCCTGGAATTGACAGAATACAAACAGAAATCTTTCACCAAACTGATGCAGCACTGAAAGCACTCACTCATCTATACCAAGAAATCTGGAAGACAGCTACCTGCCCAGATAATTGGAAGAGATCCATATTTATGCCCATTCTAAAGAGAGGAGGCAAACAGAATGTGGAAATCATCAAACAATATCATTAATACAGCATAAAAGGAAAATTTTACTAACGATAATTTAAAAAATGGCTGCAATAGTACCTCAACAGGGAACTGCCAGAAAGTCAAACCAGATTCAAATGCTGTCAGTGGCACTAGGGATATCATCGCTGATGTAAGATGGATCTTGGCTGAAAGCAGAAAATGTCAGAAAGATGTTTACTTGTGCTTTATTGACTACGCAAAGGCTTTTGAGTTTGGATAAAATGACAAACTGTGGATAACATTGCAAATAATGAGTATTCCAGAACACTTCATTGTGCTCATGAGTAACCTGTATGTAGACCAAGAGACAGTTGTTTGAACATAAAAATGGAATATGGAGTGATTTAAAATCAGGAAAGGTGTATGACTGGGTTGTCTTCTTTCACCATATGTATCCAATCTGTATGCTGAGTAAATAATCTGAAAAGCTGTATTATATGAAGAAGAACATGGCATTGGGGTTGGAGGAAGATTCATTAACAACCTGTGATATGCATATGATACAACCTTGCTTGCTAGAAGAAATTTTTGTTGTTATTATGTGCCATGGAGTCAGTTCCGACTCATAGCAACCCTGTACAGGGTTTCCAAGGCGGTAAATCTTTATGGGAGCAGAAAGCCTCATCTTTCTCCCGCGGAACAGCTGATAGTTTCGAACTGCTGACCTTGCAGTTCACAGCCCGATTCATAACCACTACACTAATACTTACTGATGATAACCAAAAACTATAGCCTTAAGTCTGGATAGCACCTTAATGTAAAGAAAGCAAAAATCCTCACACCTGGACCAGTGAATAACATCATGACAAATGTAAAGAAAATCAAAATTGTCTGACTTCATTTTGCTTGGATCCATAATCAACACTCATAGAAGCAGCATTCATGAAATCAGTATATTGCATTAGGCAAATCTGCTGCAGAAGACCTCTTTAAAGTGTTCAGCAGCAAAGATACCAGTTTGAGAATTAAGATGTTCTCACCCAAGCAAGGAGTCTTGGTGTAGTGCTGTAGGATAAGCACTGGATTGCTAACTGCAAGGTTGATAGTTCAAACCCACCTGCTGCTCCTCGAAAACGCAGTGCAGAGTTGCTGTGAGTCAGAAGTGACTCAGCAGCACCTAGCAACAACACCCAAGTCATGATATTTACAATAGCCTCATATGCATGTGAAAGACAATGAAGAAGGAAGACCATAGAAGAATTGATACATTTGAGTTATGGTGTTGAAGAAGAATATTTAAAGTACTATGCACTGCTGGAAGAGCAAACAC